TGGGTTCAGGAGGAGATTAGAGGATTTCTAAAATAGCTCTGAAAAAGTCTTTTTTCTCATCAGTTTGAACATTTTCCATCTGCTGTGAGCACATTCCTGTTTTATTTCCCAAATATCTTTTTTTCCTTCTGTTTCTATTTTAAAGTTCCTTTTTGCCAAGATTTTACTTCCCAATTAGTGCAGCCGGGAGTGCTGCTGGGGGTGGATTGCTAGCGAGCCATTTACCTTTCAGATTCTGCAGTTAATTGACTGGGAGGCAGTGGAAGCCCCTGCACCACTTCTGCTAAGTGCTCCTCTGTTTAAATCCCTCTTGCAGCCCTTAAGTTCCTTTCCCGCCCTGGTGATTACTCGTACCTTCTCCTTTCCTTCTGTTGTAATAACTGAGAGGAGAGGTTTGGAGCAGCCAAATTCATGGGGTCGCATACATTTAAGGCTGGGATTGCATTTTAAAAGAGTTTCTGGTGGTTCCAAGTTGGCAGGTTGGGGATGCTTCTGCTTGTCTGTTCCATTCAGTCTATCATGTTTCCATCTTCATATTCCACAGTAAATGGAGGACACACTGTTCAGGAAAAAACATTGCCAGGGATACCAAATGTATTCTGCAGTCTGAATTGAAAGCAGCTTCCTCTGTTCTGTGTTTGTAGCTGAAGAAAGGGGCTAAATTCACTCGTGAAGCAGTTGTTTCATTGATTCCCTATTCTGAACAGCTTTGACACCTCTCGCCCCCTCAGCTGCCTCCTCTTAGGATCTTATAGGCCTAAGTGTCATGAAAGGCAGTGCTTGAGGATGTCACCTTCCTGTTGGACCTCCTCCACCCCTAAAGAAGAGTCTCACAGATACACAGTGATCACCTCATTTGTGATACAGGCTGTGGATGTGGGGACCCTCTTGCAGGCTAACTTCTGGGGAGCTCATTGAGTATTCCTCTGTTTCATCTGCATCTCTGCTAATTGTGTTATCAAAATGACACATAAGTTGTAATGTTTTAAACGTGGGCAAGTGCTTTTTAACAGGACAGTTTTCTGTCTGAAGATTCTGCTTTTCAGAAAGCAAGTATGTAATGGAAATGAAATGTCAGGTTTGCCAAATTTCCAATTGCCTGTCATGTTTTGTTCCTTTTTTCTTAAAAAAAAAATAAATTCACAATTATCTTTATAAAAAAGGAATTAAGCCATCTTAGTGGTAACTAAGGAATTAAGCCAGCTTGGGTCATGTTTTTGTGAAATACTTCAGTAGATTGTTTCCATGTTTTCAAGCCCTGAGATGGCAGCTGGTACATTTAAAGGACATCAGATTTTTCTCAAGCAATTCTATTTATCCTTACAGCTCCCTTGGAGTTGGAAGAACAGCGTTTCCCAGTATTTTATGTGTGGGAAAGGAAGATATAAGAAGACCAAATGATCCACCCAAGCTTATAACTGAAGCCTGGCACAGAGCAGGGCAATAAACCCAGCACCTGGGCTCACACACTAGCCATTCACCATCCTTTCTCCACTTAATGTCAGCTCTGGTAGGAGTTTCTCATTCTTTTTCAAAGCCTCAGTCCCCAACACTTACAACAAATTTTGTGCCTGTGGAGTTTGGGGGCAGATTTGAAGATATGAATCACTTTTCTGAAGAATAGTAGGCTCAAACTTCCCATATGTAGACTGGTTTAATTTGAATTTCTTGACTTTTCCTAAGTGAGAAGTTGAATTCAGTTTCTTCCTTCTTTCAACCGTCCTGGCTCTACTGATATCCAAAAATGCAAAATGACATCTTGTCTCAGCCCACCAGAGCAGATGCATTGCAGGGGATTAGACTGGAAATCTTTCTAAAATGCAGCGTTCTGAGATGTTTCTGGAAAAGGTAGCTGGGGAGCAGAGTATACGATGTTCACTTGATGCTAACCCAGCAAGACAGTAGATATGCAGCACATGAAAGTTGTAGGCACAGTCAACAAGACAGCATTGCCAGAAACCATAAGGCCTCTGGTTAAGGGACAGTGACCTGAAGGAGAAGCCAAGTGGTGAGCCAACAGCACAGGCATTGGGAGAGTCTCATCTGCTGCCTAGACAGGCAAAAAGCATCTCGTTGCTGTATTCAGACACGAGACAAGGAACAGCAAAGCTCCCTGGTTGAGGGAGACAGATGCGGCTGAGGGGTTGGCCCGTGAGGGATGCCAGTGTTTTGGGGTGCAGTGTGTCTGGAGAGGTTGGAGCAGCTGGGCATGTAGATAGATGTGGATAATAGAGGCTGTTGCATAAAATCATAGACTGGTTTGGGTTGGAAGGAACCTTAAATACCATCCAGTTCCAACCCCCCTGCCATCAGCAG